AAACCCTGGATTTTGAGGGGAAAGATAAATACATCATGACAGTTGAAGCCAAGGATGGGGGTGGGTTAGTGGCTCACTGCAATGTTGAGATAAAGATAGTAGACGAGAATGACAATGCCCCAGAAATCATTCTTGTCTCATCATCCAGCCCAATACCTGAAGATTCTGCATCTGGGACTCTGGTTGCTCTTATCAATGTAAAAGACAGAGATTCTGGAGAGAATGGAAACATAGTTTGTCAGGTACTAAGCAATTTGCCATTCCAAATTGTCTCAACATCCAATAACTACTATAAGGTGCTTACAGATGGTTTGCTGGACAGGGAAAATACTCCTGAGTATAATATCACAATCACAGCCACAGACAATGGGAGTCCTCCTCTTTCTACACTCAAGACCATTTCAGTGCAGATCTCTGATATCAACGATAATCCTCCAGCCTTTGAGAAGCCTTCTTATACTGCCTATGTGCCAGAGAACAACCCCTCTGGAGCCTCCATTTTCAGGGTCAAAGCCTCTGACCCAGATCTGGATGGCAATGCACGAATCCTTTACTCCATCCAAAAGAGCAACATTGAGGACCTGCCTCTCTCCTCTTATGTCTCCATTAACTCTGAGACGGGGATTGTTTATGCACAGCGCTCCTTTGACTACGAACAATTCAGGGAGTTCCAACTTCAAGTGAAGGCCCAAGATGGAGGCTCTCCTCCTCTGAGCAGCAATGTCACTGTGAAAGTGTTTATTGTGGACCAGAATGACAACAGCCCTCAGATCCTCTACCCTTCCAAAGGAGTGGAAGGTTCAGGTTTGTTCGAGATGATCCCTCGTTCAGCTGATGCAGATTATCTGGTGACCAAGGTGGTAGCAGTGGATGCTGACTCTGGACACAATGCCTGGCTCTCCTACCACCTGCTTCAAGCCACTGAGCCAGGGCTCTTCACAATTGGACACCATACAGGTGAGATCAGGACATCCCGAACATTTTTGGAAAGGGATGCTGTGAAGCAGAGGGCGGTTATCTTAGTGAAGGATAATGGACACCCATCGTTATCTGCTACAGTGACGCTGAATCTGGTGTTTGCAGAGAATTTCCAGGAGGCCCTTCCAGAAATGAAGACCCAGTCCATCAGTCCTGACTATCAGTCTGACCTGCAGTTTTACCTGGTGTTGGCCTTGGCTTTGATCTCCTTCTTGTTTCTCTTGACGGTGATTCTGGCCATTCTGATGAAGCTTCGACGATCAGGGAATCCCAAATTCCTGCAGTGCTTTGCTCCTGTTCCTCATTCGAACAATGGTATCATATTTCCACCTAACTATGAAGAGGGGACATTGCCTTATTCTTATCAACTTTGCTTATCATCTGAATCCCGGATACAGGAATATGCCTTTCCAACAAACAGTGTTCTAACTGCAGAGAACATTTCTTCTAAGAATAAATCTGAAGCACTTTTGATAGCCAGTGAGGGAAACTGTGAGATGGATAAATCTGATATGGTGAGTTTATTTTGAGCGCAGTACCTCATTTTCACTGTAGAGGTTTTGACCGTGATTGTGCATGGCCACTTGTATAGTTATAAGTAAATGAGTTCTCCCTTCAAACAGCTCGTATATTTTGATTTCTTAGCTTATAATGACTATATTTGGCATTTTCCTGGAGGATACTTAGGGTTTGAATACCTGGGAGCAATGTTAACTCTATTTCCCCCCCTATTGAGCGAAGCAGTTCATGTCCTGAGCAGAATATAACTGTTGTAATCTTAAAATGGGCAATGGCAGTGCAAGATCCCGCATGGTTCCAGATTACTGCTGAGCTTCCTGTGTTAATGAGTGGCCGCCCATGTGCACTGCCTCAGAGTAATGCTTTTTAATCAAAGAATATGCACAAGGTAGGTCATGTTTCTCTTCTTTTATATCCTTTTTGAATAATACAATTACTAGTAGTAATGATAATAATAATAATCTCAGTAAAACCAATCCAGTAAATAAGGCAGTATAAACTTATATATTAACATTTAGGGATGTATGGGTATGCCTTTTTGTGTGTGTGTGTATGCTACACTGCCTCAGAGTAATGCTTTTTAATCAGAGCGTATGCCCAAGGTAGGTCATGGTTCTCTTGTTTTATATCCTTCTTGAATAATACAATTACTACTAGTAATGATAATAATAATCTCAGTAAAACCAATCCAGTAAATCAAAACAGTAGATTTTTATATATTAATATTTATATATTAATATTTTAGGGTATGCCCTTTTTTCTATACTGTCTTTATGAGCTTTCATCTTGCTAGGGTTGTCAGCTCTAGGTTGGGAAATACCTGAAGATTTAGGAAGTACAGCCTGGGGAGGGTGGGGTTTGGGGAGGGGAGAGACCTCAGCAGGGTACAATGCCATAGAGACCACCCTCCAAAGCAGATATTTTCTCCAGAGGAACTGATCTTGGTCATCTGGAGATCACTTGTAATCGTGGGAGATCTCATGGGGTTGGCAACCCTACTTGATCTTGTCCATTTTTAACACTGGTGTTCTCAACTTGTATGTGGGGGTTTGAAATTTTTATTAGATATGCTATTTATATCCAACTTATGCAAGCATAACTTAAAAAATATAGTGGAGGAAAGTGCTATGAGGAAAGAAACGGTGACACAAAAATAAAGCCCCAGGGGTGGACTTGCCAGCTAGTGGAAGAGTGGAGTGTGGGGGACGCCATTTTCTTGACAGCAAAATGTAATTTCTGGGGTAAACCTGTAAGTCTACCATAGAGTTTCTGGTGAATCCTAGACTATCACCCCAACAGTGGTTTTTCAGCTTCCCCCCCCCATATCACCCTACCAAGTGGTAGTGCTGGTCAAAGGCTGACACCAGAAGGTCCCCCACCATAGCAGAGAGCTGGGAGTTCTTCCCAGGAGCTTTGATTAACATAAGACAAACTGAAAACAAAGCTGGGGTTTTGGAGGCAGAATAGTAAGGCAGTGAAAGTCAACAGAATCCCTACTTTTTACCCAACCGCACAAGTGGCCCGGCTGTGGATTCTTCCTGTATTGCAGATGAAGTTCTCAGTTTCAAGATAATGGCTTGCCTAAGACAACCTGGTAAATTCTGGATTATTTGAACGGAGAATTTAAGAGAAATGTAAAAGTAATGTAGAACATCTTTCTAAACTTCACCCATCCCATTGTTGACATAAGAAATGTAACAAGGAAATGATTACTAAACCTGAAAAAAATGCATTTTCCCACTCCAATTGCAGTCAGTTATGTGGAAAAATAGAAATTGTGGTATCTTTGAATTCCATTATCGGTTACAGATGTGGGAAGAATTTGGCATGGGTTGCTATTGGGGGGGGGGCAGACCTGTTCTTCTAGTTAACGTGTAGTTCTACTTCCACAGTTGATTATCAGGTGCTAACAGTACAGTCCTAAGCAGGTCTACTCAGAATTGTACTAATCTATTCAGTTGGACCTACTCCTTGAAAAGTGCTCTTAAGATGGTAGCCTAAATGTATACAAACTTCCAAAATGGGGACCACATTTATTGAGGTAAACCTGTAATTGCTTTGGTATTGCGCATACAATGGCAAATGATCAAAACTGGTTGTGAAGTAGTATTTTACTACATTGTTGATGACATTGTTTGGAATTTAAAATCAATACATGAAGGAAATCTAGGAAGAATGAAGAAAAGTCATGAAAGCTCTTTCCAAAGAATGACCATCTTTGCATTTTTAAAACATGTGTCACAAGTGGAAAAATCAATGACTGCAAAACTACAATAACATGCTATGAGAAGAAAATGACTGTTTTGGACAGTAGACCTTTTCTGTTTAAAAATTTGGCCGGGCCTCTGTTTCTAGTTAATTTTTTTCTCCACCGTTGATTATTGGAGATTAACAGTTTAATCCTAAGCAAGTCTAGTCAAAATCCTGCTCAAGTCTATTCAGTTGGGCCTACTCCATCTTTGCATTTTTAAAACATGTCATAAGTGGAAAAATCAATGACTGCAAAGCTACAGTAACATTCTATGAGAATGGCTGTTCTGGACAGTAGACCTTTTCTGTTTATCAGGCCTGTGTTTCTAGTTAATTCTTTCTCCACTGTTGATTATCAGAGACTAACAGTGTCATCCTAAGCAAGTCTAGTCAGAATCCTACTCTATTCAGTCAGGCTACTCTTTGAAAAGTGCTTTTAGGATGGCAGCCTAAGTGTACACAAGTTTCCAAACTTGGGACCCACATTATTTCCCATAGTGGGACTTCTAGATTTACTCTGGTATCTTAAAGGACCTACTAATGCACCACATAGAGAACAGATAGGAGATCTGCAGCTAAGTAACAACTGGCTAACTTTGGAGCATATGTAGCGATACAGTGAACCATCCTGGAACTCAAATGGCAATCGAAGGTATAAATAGTAATATTCCAGCCAGAGAAAATGCCTGGATGACAATGCAGAGATTTCCACACTTTGAAGTCCAGGATGATTATTTAGGAAGCAAGACTTTTCATTATTGGAGTAGCAATATTAGCTTTAAAAACTGGACTGAATGAAGAAACAGGTAAATGTTTTTTTAAAGGAAAATATTCCGAGTTCTCTACTTAGAGCCTATTACAAGGGGATAGTCATTCCTAAACACAGTCCTTCAGTGTTTGTTTGTAATTCACCAAAACATCAATTGCCTTCAGGTTGCATTTCTATTTTAAACCAAATGAACAAGCATCCATTGCAGTTCTCCTTGTGAGCCTCAGAGTGTCGCTGTTGACCAATATCATCGCTAAATGGAGGCTGGAAAGCCACAGATATTTGCTATAGCTTCATCGGTGCTGTGCAGACCGGGGAACTCCCAACACAGAGGCAGAACAGCATTCCTGAGCCAAAAAAAAAGTCTTGTGGCTTGTACAAATTAAGAAGAAAAACGGATTATTCTTCCTAAGATTCCCTGCATCTTGAAGAGGATCTGATCTGACCGGGGGTAAAAGAGACAGCTAATTTGTCTGGGATCCAGATGGACAGGAAGCACAAAGGGAATGGCCGGGCTCTGGGAAGGCAAGTACTGCTTCTCTCATTATTGTCTTTCTGCAGCTGGGCTGCTTCAGAGCAGATTCAGTATTCCATACCCGAAGAGATGCCAAAGGGTTCTATTGTGGGTAACCTTGCCAAAGATTTGGGTCTGAATGCCAGAGAACTAGCACAGCGTAACCTACATGCTGTCTCTGTGGATGATATGCAATATTTCACAATCAGTGCAGAGAATGGAAAACTCTATGTGAATGACAGAATAGACAGGGAAGGGATTTGTGACACAGCTGCACTTTGCCTTGTTAATTTTGAGGCAGTGGTTGAAAACCCTCTGAATATTTTTCATATTACTGTAGTGATTCAAGACATTAATGATAATGCACCATATTTTGCAAATGAAAACATCAAGTTGGAAATAATTGAATCCAGTTTACCAGGCACAAGGTTTCTTATTGAGAAAGCTAAAGATCCTGACATTGGTATGAATTCTCTTCAGAATTACCAGATCAACCCCAACCAGTATTTCACTGTGGAAGTTAAAGAGAGTAAGGATGGGGGGAAATTTGCAGAGTTAGTACTGCAGAAAATGTTGGATCGTGAAAGGGAACACTCTTTCCAATTGACTCTTGTAGCGCTAGACAGTGGAGAACCAAGAAGAACTGGTACTGCTCAAATATGGATTGATGTCACTGATGCTAATGATAATTTCCCCATATTCACACAAGAACTTTATAAGGTCAGTTTGAAGGAAAATGTACCTGTTGGTTCGTTTGTACTCCAGATTGTGGCCTCTGATGATGATGAAGGTCCAAACGCCCAGATCACGTACCAATTCAGGAACATACCACTAAGTGACCAACAGAAATTCAGCTTGGATCCCAGGAATGGAACTATAACACTAGAAGGGCAATTGGACTTCGAAGAAACCAAAGAATATAGTATTCGAGTTGCAGCAAAAGATGGAGGAGGATTAGTGACCCACTGCAACATCGAAATAACAGTTCTTGATGAGAATGACAACTCCCCAGAGGTGAACATTGTTTCCCTGTTTAACCCAGTCCCTGAAGATTCCCTTCCTGGAACATTAATTGCCTTGATCAATGTAAAAGACAAAGATACAGGGGACAATGGGAAAGTTACATGCAACCTAGAAAAGCATTTACCATTCAAGATTATTCCCTCTTCTAATAATTACTATAAGCTGCAGACCGACAGTCCTTTAGACCGAGAAAAGCATTCTGAATACAATATTACAATCACAGCCAGTGACCAAGGGACACCTGCACTCTCCACAAATAAAACCATCTCATTACTTATTTCAGATATCAATGACAATGCCCCTTCTTTTGAGAAACCATCCTACACCATCTTTGTGCCAGAAAATAACCCTTCTGGTGCTTCCATATTCAATGTGGAATCCTTGGACCCAGACATGGACCAAAACTCACGAATCACATATTCCATCCTCCATAGCAACATCAAGGAGCTCCCCATCTCTTCATACATCTCCATTAACTCTGAGACTGGAGCTCTCTATGCCCAGAGGTCCTTTGACTATGAACAGTTCAGAGAGTTCCAGCTTCAAGTGAGGGCCCTAGACAGTGGTTCTCCCCCTCTCAGCAGCAATGTCACAGTGAGGGTGTTCATTTTGGATCGGAATGACAACAGCCCACGGATCCTGTCCCCTTCACAAGAAGCCAAGGGCTCAGCCTTGTTTGAGATGGTACCTCGTTCTGCTGAGGCAGGATATCTGGTCACAAAGGTGGTGGCTGTGGATGCTGATTCTGGACACAACGCCTGGCTTTCCTACCATGTCATTCAAGCCACTGAACCAGGATTCTTCACTGTTGGTTCTCACACTGGTGAAATCAGGACCACAAGGGCCTTTGTGGAGAAAGATGCTGCGAAACAGAAACTGGTCATCTTGGTGAAGGATAATGGCCAGCCATCACTCTCAGCCACTGTGACGCTGAACTTGGTGTTTGCCGAGAACTTTCAGGAGGCCCTTCCAGAAATGAAGAACCAGTCCAGGAGCTCTGACTATCAGTCCGACCTGCAGTTCTACCTGGTGCTGGCCTTGGCTTTGATGTCATTCTTGTTTCTCTTGACAGTGATCCTGGCCATTCTGATGAAGCTTCGGCGATCAGGGAATCCCAAATTCCTGCAGTGCTTTGCTCCTGTTCCCCATTCAAAGGCTGGAGCCATCTTCCCACCAAACTTTGAAGATGGGACTTTGCCTTATTCCTACCAGCTGTGCCTGTCCTCAGAATCCAGGAAGAATGAGTTCACTTTCCTGACCCCCAATATTCAGATTGCAGACAATATTCTATGCAACAACACATCTGGTGTGCCTATCCTTAATAATGGAGAAAAAAGTTTAAATTCTGAGATGGAGAGTACGGACAAGGTATAGATCGTTATTTTCCTTTCATGACACATTATTTTATTTATGGGGCTGATGCAACTGCTTTATTTGTTTGACTTTTGCTGTCTATCAAACAGGAAACCAGTGAATATTGGGGAGGGGGGGTTGATGGTTGTTATACACTAGAAAATACACACATACCACTTCCCAAAATTTTCCATCTTTCTTGTTACCTTTGTGCTCTTTATATCCTCTCCAACCTGTCTCTTATCTTGTGATGAGATTCTGTGGTTTTGAAAGTGCTTTTTGATGAAAAGTAACTATTAAATAATAGTAATCTGGATAATAAGGTATATATTGAAACATTTCAAAAGAAGCCATAAAAGAACATGTTGAGCTCCTATGTCAATGGATACCCATTTGCTCAATGGTCTTCTTTTTATCTTCACATTCATAAGAAGTAAAATATATATTTTCTCAGATGAATATTCTCCAGGTTGTAAAATACTGTATCTCCTTTATTTTATATCAAGAAATTGTTGCATTACCAGGGGTCATTTCGGGGGGGATCGCGGGGGATCGCAGTTCCCCTGGGTGAGGTGCGGGGGCAGGGCACATTACCCTGCTTCCGGTCAGGGTAAAATGGCGATTTGACGCACCCTGTAAGTGCTCAGAGTGGACGGGTGTTCCTTACAGCAGTTTGGACTGTATTTTGGTCCAACACGGCTTCCTCCAGGCAGGGGGAATTACTGGCAGGCATCAAGACCCAAGAGAGAGTTGAGATTGGTGTGATCAAGTCTCGGAAGAGGCTTGTATTACACTTTGATCCCCTCTCCTGAAGCGGGCGAGCGCATTCAGGGGGTGTGGCCTCATGACATACTTCTGGTGATGTCAGGGGGTGTGGCATATGCTAATGAGTTATGCTAATGAGTTCCCCTAGCTCTTTTTCTATGAAACGACCCCTGTGCATTACTATCACTCTGGCACAGGTTTGCTGGATTGATGAGGTGTCTTGCAGTGGCCACACACATTCTGCATTCTGTGGTAAGGCTTTTATGTGCCAGGTGCATCTAGAGCTCACATTTTCAGAGGAAGGCCATGAGATCCTCCTTTGCTTATTACACTAATGATCTTACGGAGGACTTCTTTTCTTGCTTCTTCCTTGCAGTGTACAATACCCATTTGCCAGTTTGTTCTCCACCTTCCTTTTCATTCACAGCCTCTTCCAGTGGGCTCTTTATTTTTTCCTTTTCTTTATCCAGGGCTTTCTGATCTGAAGGATCGATTGCATTAACACATGTCATCAGCAGGGATGGTACACTGCAAATCTACTTTTGGCAGAATGTTAGCCGCATGATAGTTTTACTATTTTTGTTATTTATTGTAGCAGTATCAGTGTACATGATTTCTATAGATCTTCCTAAGCAAGAATAGGCAAGTCCTCGCCCTCAAACAGCTTCCATTCTGAAATCAACAGTGGAGAACATAACACAGAGATAAGGGACAAACATGAGCAAATTCAATTAAACATGTTACAGTTGGGGTATGGATTATTCTGCTAGACATTTAGATCAATGACCTTAGAACTTAGAACAATGAATTTAGATCATCTAAGAAGAGCCTGGAAATTAAGCACTATGAAGTATCAATACTGGCAGGGCTGTGATATTCACCATTCTGGCTATGTGTGGAAGCTGAGCACTGTTATTCTCTGATTGCATACTTTTAAACAAATGAATTCAGTTTTCCATTTAGAGGGGCTGAAGAATGGTGGGGGGGGGACTTTTATATGTTGAAGTCTATGGGGCCGCAGAGATAGAGGATAAATAGCTCCTGGGTCTTGATCTGGTCCATGGGGTCGCGAAGAGTTGGACTCGACTGTGTGACTGAACAATAAAACTTGTTACCAGGTCCTGCCCCCAAACCATGTGCGCCAGTTCCACTGTCCTCTTCTTGTTCCATCTGCTCAACTTTTTAGACCTCAGCCTGAAGTACAGGATAAAGGAGACTGGATCAATCCTGGGAACTTTCTTCCATGTGGAAGAGTGGCATAAGTATGCACTTTCAGTGTTCAGTTCTAAACAGAAGATCAGGATAGTGTCCTTGATTTATATGCATGTTTTTCTAGCCCTTTCAGGTAAGTTGGAATGAGGCATTAGATTTTCATTTATATTTGCTCAGTTAGCCCTATGAGGAAAATACAAATTATTTTTTAAAATGTCTCATTCAAAAGTCTCCCAGTTAATGAACATAGGACATGTACTAGCCTTTTCTTTAGTTGTTTTGGTCTCAGTTGTTTACTATTCGGCAGCAAAAACTAAGGCATTCCAAAACTTATTAAGGATGCTTTGGATGCCTTCCAATTGCATGTATGTGATATTCTTCCTTGCGTCCTGTGTGTATGTAGGGAGCTGTCATACCAAAAAAGACCCAAAGTCCTTCTCAGCCCTTCTACCTGCACTCATTTAAATGGAGAGGCCCATCTGTTTGAAGTATACCTCCATTGCCATTCTTATTCATCTACAGAGTATCTATTAGTAACACCAGTAGTACCCGTAGTATGTCATAGTGGTATTACAGCAGGTTTTGAAAAGGGCTTTATCATATTTGCAGCATTTCAAGCAGTAGTAGCGTGCTATTTAGCATTCACGCCCTTACGTAAACCTGGCCCTGTGTTTTAGTGACAAAAGAAGACAGTACCTTTATTTCAGTTTAATTTGGGCCAATAGAAATGTTTTGTATAAAGTACTGAGAAGTTCAGGTCAGATCAGTTTTTGAAATGTCATGCCAATCTAAAGTAACACATGTTTTGTCAAAATATATATACTATACTATTCAGTTATTCTTCAGCAACTAATTGTACATTTTAAACTAAATGGATGATACCAGTTCTGTGATACCTGATGAGACATGAAGCTTTGTTTTAACTCATTGATCCACTTTTATGGTCTCTTCGGAGCTTTAAGAAAACCTGCTTTAAAGTAGTTCATCAGTTTTATTTGATGCCAGAAATTAGCTATGATGTATAGACGTTGCACTGCCCATTGTTGCTTTTGTAAATTTCTGATGGTCAATCTTATCCACGTTTGGCAGCAATCTTCTCACCCTATTGAGTTTTGGACTAAGATCCGTGGAAAAACTGGAGGTAGGATATGAATTTGAGATCCCTCTAGGCCAGAAATAATTTTGTTGAAGCATGTGGCAGGATTTCTAAGGTGGATCCAGGTAATTTTCCTAGACAATGGAAGCTGAATTTAGCCTCAAATATATAGAACTGGATGGTATAAATCAAAAAGATCTGTGTTAATTAGAGTTTTATTTATTTACAGAAGAGGAAAGTGCTTGACTTAACTTGATGCTCTTTGGTGTTCTTTACTTAATGACACTGTAACCTTTGTAACTGCAATATGGTGTTCATTCTTTGTATATGTTTTGTTGTGGTTTATGATATAATGAATAAATACAGCAAAATAGTATATGGAATCTGAGAGGACAAAAGCAGAGCTGATATCCTTATATATTTAAGTATTTATTTCTTATTAATAGTAACATGTCTCAAAATATTCCATGATAATCACAGAAAACTGAGTTTACAAGTGGCAGTACCACTTTCCCCAAATATTGTTTCATGTTGTTTATGCTGTTTGCGTGAGATTGTTTGGAATGGTGTTCCTACTGTTGTAGCAAAATAAACACATACAAAATGCAGATATATACTATCCACAAAGCCAGAAAACTTTTCTTCTTCCCCACCTGAAAACAGATTGTTCTTCTCTACATATAAGCTTGAGGAAGAGACAAAAGCAATTCTTGCAGTTCCCTGCCTGAGACGCAGAGTGTCACTGTTGGCCAAGGTAGCTCTCATGTAGGATCTGGGAATCCACTGAGCTCTGCTTCCAGCAGTGTGGCTGCTCATTCTCGGAATGCAGATCAGGAAAACAGCAGACAACGGAGACGGGAAGCCTTGGGGAAAGGAAACCATTACAACATATATAAATTCAGCAGACTCCAGTGACATTGTTATGCTTCTTTACTGTGGATCTTGTGTTGTGATGGGAATTTGAAAAGATCTCAGCTGACCAAGATATGCAAGTAGAAGAAAAAGCAAGCTCCTCAGCCAGAAGGATGAACTGCAGACACCAAGAGAAGAGTGGATCAGTAAGGTTATTGTTCCTCTTATTATTGTCTTTGTTCTGCAAAACCGCCTCAGAGCAGATTCAGTATTCAGTCCCTGAGGAAATGGAGAAAGGGTCCATTGTAGGGAATCTAGCCAAAGATCTAGGACTTAGTCCTGGAGAAATAGCAAATCGCAATCTGCATGTCTTTTCTCTAGATAAAAAGCAGTATTTCACTGTCAGTGCAGAAAATGGAAAACTGTATGTAAATGATAGGATAGATAGAGAGGGAACTTGTGGGGAAACTCTATTCTGCCTTATAAACTTTGAAGTCATGGCTGAAAACCCCATGAATATTTTCCATGTAACTGTAGCAATCCAGGATATTAATGATAACACACCACGTTTCTTAAATGAGGATATCAGGCTAGAACCAAGTGAATCAACTCTGCCAGGAGCCCGATTTGTTCTTGGGCATGCTGAAGATCCAGATGTTGGAATGAATTCTCTCCAGAACTACCAACTCTCACCCAATCAATATTTCACACTGGAAACCAGCGTGAGTGAGGATGGAAATAAATATGCAGAATTGGTACTCAGGAAACAGTTGGATCGGGAAAGGGAAAGCAGTTTCCATATAACCGTTATGGCTGTAGATGGAGGAAAGCCTGCCAAAACTGGCACAGCCAAAATATGGGTTAATGTCATTGATGCCAATGACAACCTCCCTGTTTTTGCACAAGAATTGTACAAGGTCAGCCTGAAGGAAAATGCCCCCAAAGGATCCTCAGTGGTGCATGTGGAAGCCACTGACAGAGACGAAGGCTCCTATGGCCAGATCAGCTACAGTTTTAGCAATATTGCTGAAAACACTCGCAAAATGTTTTTGTTGGATTCACATAATGGAACTATTAAAGTTAGGGAAACCCCAGA